AGATGAGGTGCTTTTCCGACAGCATGATCTTGGTGACGGGGCTGCGGTGGACAGAGAAGGTCTGAAAAAGCTGAGGCCCTGAGCCCACGGTCTCTGGATGCTGGACGATGACGCGAACAGTCCCCGAGCTGGTCCCGTACGCAATCTCGATCCAGTTCCCGCTGTCACCTGAGCAAACCGGGCTAAGTGTGAGACGGCTGCAGGAACATGAAAAATAAGACTTTCCCTGACTCGTCTCTAACAGACGGAGGTGAAGGAATGTGGAGAAAACTGACGCCCTGCAGTGGTTGTATTAGCAGCAGTGTCAGTGTCTCCGTACTTGTTTTGGGTGTGAGGTAGACGCTGAGAGCGGTGATGGCGTCTTCGGTCGGGTCTCTGTACAGCTCCGTCACCAGCAGGTCGTTATCCTTCATCCTCAGAGGAAACTTCTGAACATCTGACCAGCAAACAGGGACATCGTGAACAGCGGGGACTTTTTAAACATCTGTCAAGTCGTGAAGCCAAAGCCTCCCAATGAAAGCTGGTGAGAGTGGCCCGCAGCATTTACTGAACAGATTCAGGTTCTGGTTGGTAAATTAATGACCACGAGCCAACAATCTGATGAATTTATACTCGTACTGAGCAGTTTTCAGTTGATCCGACTCATCAATCTGCAGCTTCTTACCGATGTAGTAGATGGAGCCGTTGTTGCAGCCCAGGATAAGGAAGGAGCCGGCGGTGTCGTAGCTGCTGATGGGAACCACATCCTGGTTCTGCAAAGGTCACAGAGAACATGTGTGAAGCAGACTTGGTCCAATCAGCTCCCTCGGCAGGTGTTCAGGCTTCAGCACTTCCACTGAAGCGACCATCTGAGAGCGTCTCCACCCACCTGCCAGTGTTTGGTGACTGCGTTCCACACCCCCACCTTCCCCGTGTGGCTGGTGGCGATGAGCTGGTTACCAACAAAGAAGAGAGCCTCAGCGGGGACATTGAGACTGAAGACGCCTGCGGGGAGGGAGAAACCAGTTTGTTTTTGTTACTGGGAACGTTTCCCGAGCAGCTCATCGAACCTACGTCCCGATTCCCGGGAACACTGCGCAGAAACTCGTACCGATTTCATTGCCGTTGCCATCAGGGCAAATGGACCAGAGGATGATCTCCGTCACCGAGGCGACAGCCACCATCTTGTCGTTGTCTCCCAGTGACCCGCCCATCACTTTGGCGTTGAGCGCGACTCTGTCGATCATCCAGTCGAGGCGGGGAGAGGTGAAGACCTGCTGCCACCCGGTCGACTCCTTCACCCTGAGAGAGGAGGCGGGAGGAGAGGGACAGCCAATCAGAAGACAGTTAGCTTACAGTGGGAGGAGCTAAAACAGCTTTTTCCCCCCACTTCTCTGACAGACTACAAACTGATGGGACGACTCAGTATGGAATAAGGATTATTGGGCCTTGGCCCGAGTATTAGCTAATCTGAGATTAACGCAAACCTCAGACTACAGTCAAATTTAAACGGGTGATAAATGACCTGCGACCTGCAGTTAAAGGTGTGTGAGAGCACGCAGCAGTGACCTGTGCGCACGTGTGTGCACGTCTCTCTAAGGAGGCTCACGGTGTTACTGAAACCGCTACAGATGCTCGGACGGAGGTGTGGATGCAGCAGGATGTGCCGATGTGTCTGAGCCGCTCCCAGTCACGTGAAAACAAATAAACAACAGAGGTCATGTGACGCGTTTACCTGTAGCAGACCACGAACTGCGCGTAGGCCACAGCGATCCAGTTATGATGGCCGCAGATGATCCGAACCATGCCGGGGTCAGATGAGTGCCCTGAACGCACACACACACACAATGAAACTCCCACCACGTCCCTCCGATCTTAAAAAAGTACAAAATAAAGCAGCATTATTTAACGTGCCGACCTCCTGACGTCCGATCCTCGTTCATGCCTCTTCCCAGTATCCCAGAATTCCCGAGGTTCGGAGGCATCGTGTTGCTGCGTCGGACCGGCGCTCGCTCTACAGGAACAACGCGGCCCGCCATGAACTGCGACCCGGCCACGCTGTGACGGTTCCGACGCTTCGCCGGGTGCACTGGGACGACACAGACAGAAGGAGCTGTGAATCAGGATCACGCCTCCACGTTTCAGTTAGAAACAGGACATTAATTATATTTGCATCGTTTTATGCGAGTGATGAGCCTCCTGCGGCACATTTTATCTGAAACAGAAAAGATTTCGTTATTTTAATCATAACAACTTTTTAAGTTTGCAATGATTCGTATATAATAAATACAGACATGCTCACATTGTATGAAAATCTTACCTAATAAAGCATTTTAAAGTTTTTTAAGATATTTAATTACAATATTTTTTAAAATTAGTTACATTTTTATAGAAAGCATCCTAACACCTGCATAAATTATGTGTTGTGCATTTAAACTTCCTGAAGGCCCTGTGAGGTGGGGGTCAGGTGTGCTGTGAGGACAGCTGTACCTGCAGGTGGCAGGTAACCGTTGAAAAGCACGTTTCCGCAGGACGACCGGTCCAGCTCGTCACACAGCTGCAGCTTACGCACTGTTCCAAAAACAAAGTGATGAAGAACGTTTAGCGACGTCTGCGGCTTTACGTGCTCAGCTCAGAGTGCGGTCCAGCCTCACCGAGCGGTGTGATGCCGTAGAACTCGGCCTCGTGCATGAGCATGTGCACGTTGATGGAGCGCGGGTGGAGCTCTTTGGTCCGCAGGAAGTTGAGGATGGTCGCGAACAGGGAGGGGTCCCTGTCGATGAAGATCTACAGCGAGAGAGGAGGGACAAACGCAGTTATCGCGAGGAGGAAAAGCATGCGGGGACATGAGGAAGAGGAGCTTTACTTACAGCTCCAGTTTCATCCTTCAGAGTCGAGATCCGGCCGCTCAAAAGGCTGAAGAGAGAAAACCCCCAAAGAAACCATCAAGACGTCAGAAACCAGCAAACTCAGCTTTCCAAAATACAAGAACTAGTTCAGTCACATCTGCCTTTCATTTCACTTACACGACAATTTCATCACATCACAGACTAGCTCACGTACGCATATTAACATGCATGTTTCTGCACACATTCGACCAAATGAGCAGACTTTTAGCATGTCCAGCTCAAAATCAGCTTTTAGGGAGTGAAGTGCATGTAGTCCAGAGAAAGTAACCTAAAGGCCCCCGACAGCCAGGGTCTCCCTCTCTGACCCACCTGGAGAAAAAGGAGTCAGGGACCCAGGTGAGCGTCTGGCGGGAGGTGCTGAACCTGAAAGCAAACACACACTCGTTGACTCTCGTGTTGTCATAAAACAACAGAAATAACAGCAGTGTGAACAGCTCCCCTCTCCTCCTCCTCACTGACCTTTCACTCCTTATCTGACCCTGGTGATACCTGCGCCTCGTGCACGGAGTCACAGGTGCACATTAAAGTCTAATGAGCACCGAGAAACTTTTACATCCGTTTTTACTAACGGACATGAAATTGTCGCCCTGCTGCGCTCCAGCACACCGTGATTTCCTGCATCCGTGTCTTGGTTAAAGATCAATATTTTATCACTAAACACTGAATAAAAAAAGAGCGATGAGCTTCAGTCTTTATAAACACTCCTGACTTAAACAGTCCCTCTGCCTGACTCTGACATGTTTAATAGGTGAACATGTACCTGACATCACCTGCCTTTCAACAAAAGACAAACCTGTTTTGCTAACTTTAACAGTTCCATTGTCGGACAGCATAGTTTTAATTTATTTACGTTAAACAGGCCAAATATAAACTCTTACTGAAGTAAATCTGAACTTTATTATTTATTCGTCGTTTATATGTTTAATGTGCGCAGTACAGCTAGCTTACAGCGGCTAGTTTCCTGTTTCTCTCCTCTGCTCACACCAGAACCTGGCACAAAGTTATGCTAGCTAACAATAACAAAGTGCGGGGCTGGAAAAACTCACAAAGCGCGAAACACGGACTTTATAACCGGGTTAAAAACATCTAGTATACTGTGCAATAGAAGGGGTTATAAAACGTGTTTAATGTCTTAGCGCAGAGATACTTTAGAGAACATTACTACACTATGATACTGGAAGCAGTCTGTCCGATAATGGATCCTCCATGTTAGCCGCGGGAGCTAGCCGGGTTAGCAGGCACTCCTGGGTCTCACCTCTTCCCTCCGACGTTCAGGTGGATGATGTCTCCGCTCCTCGCCGTGGTGGACATCCTCTAAAGGCCCGGAGACTCCGACAATGACCGCCAAAGACACAGTTTTAATCCATTTTTCGGTGATAAACTCCGTTTCCGTTGTGCTTTAAGCCGGCTTCCGGAGGTCGGACAGAGGGGCGGGGTATAATGGCCGCGTTATGGCCTCGGTCTACCCGCGGAGAAACCCGGCCGGGAGCGCCGGATCCGGGGCACACAATGAACCAAAGCCCGGAGTCTGACTGGATCAGGACCGAAGACCAGTTCCTGGGGGAAACAGAAGAAAACAAAATGGAGACTTGTTTTTAAAGGTAAATAAAAACAAAGTTAATTGATTAAAAACTAAAAAGAGATAAGGAATACCGGAGTATGTTTAATTTTAAAGTCAAAGCCTGCACCTCTGCATTTAGTATCTTTGTTTCTTTACAGGCAAATCAATTCAGAAAACTTTTTGGCTTTTTGAAAACTGTAAATATTATTCAATAGGACATATTATTATTATTATTGTTGTTGTTGTTGTTGTTGATATGGCCTTATTTAAAATATTGTATGTAAATAAGACCGATGATCCCAAGCCCAGAGGTAAATGTCCGACAGAATGAAAGAAGCGGCTGCAGGGGTTCATTCAAAGTTCAGACCTCAGCAAAATATATTCAGGTGACCATCGCAAGGTCATTTTCTGATGTCAGCCTCTGATCTTTAAAGTGAAAGTGCTGCAGCTCTCCACTACTCCACTCCTTCAGTCCTGTTCACGTGACTGTAAATGAAACCAATCAGAGAAAATCTGCAGACTTCAGAATATGAAAAGAAATGAAACTAAATGAAAGTGTGGGGAGTGTGCAGAGGCTCAGTAGAAGGACAGACTTCATGATGGGGATATAAATGGTAAGTGGGCTGTACTTCTATAGCGCTTTACACACACATTCACACACTGGTGATGGCAGCTGCATTGTAGCCACAGCCACCCTGGGGCGCACTGACAGAGGCGAGGCAGCCGGACACATCTTTGAAACATGTTAGTGAGTAAAAGAGTGAAATCAGAAGGAGATCTAATAGTTTTTCACAAAAATCTTTTCAGGATGAAATCATGTAACAGACTTATTCTTGGAATAATTCAATGAGCAAACCAGACCAACATGTGTTGACTCCAAGTCTGCATCAGGGTCTGACAAATACAATCATTCAGGATTAAACACCAGTCCTGGGCGACAAACACCTGTGGTGAAGTATTTTAACCACTAGAGGGCGCAAAAATTGAAGCGTGAGGCCCAGACAAATCCAAAGTGTAACAAAACCTCAGCAGAAGTTATTAATTATATTAATATTATTATTAATTATAAAAGCGAGTCTAAGAAAAAGGTAAATTCTGAATATTCTGCTAACTGTCGTGTTTGATTTCCTCCGAGGACGGCAGGTGTCCACAGTCAGGACAGGCTGACAGATTCAGAGGCTTTTGATGATACACCAGGACAAGTTCAGCGATACATGAGGAAGAGCTACGCAGGACCAGCTGAGAGATGAAGAGCATAGCCAGGCTGTTCTGTCTACTTCACCCGGTTTCCTTCTGGCAAAGGTACCCTCACTGCCATACTGAGAAAGTTTCCTCACCCAGGCTGTTCAGCTATCTTAGTGAGGACCTTCACTGACATAATGGTTTCCTTAGCCCCTTACCCTAACCATTAAAAATTAATGCCTAACCCTAAACCATAACCTAATTGTAACTCTGACACTAAAACCACATTTTGAGCCTCAAAAAGGCTTCAAACTTGTGAGGACCGGTGAGTGTGTCCTCACAAGGGACTGTTGGTTCTCACAAGTATAGTAGAATGCAGCTTTTGGTCCTCACAAAGATAGCTGGACAGGAACACACACACACACACTGAGTTACTTTTGCACAGCCCACTGTCATCGTTGCACTTTTCTTTTGTACTTCTGTCTTTTTTTTT